GGTAAGCTTTTGAAACATCTTGAAGATGCTATAGGAATTCAATAGATATTTAATTCAAAGTGCATGAGTATTACGACACTTTCCTGAGCTCAGGGGAGATACAGAAAGTGCATTATTTACATTCTCTCTCTTTTACAGTGAAAAAAATCAAGAATTCCAGGAACGACGGAGAGGCATATTACACATGGAAGCAAGGGCGTAACCAGGAATCATGGGGCCCCCTGACTAAACCTCTCCGTAGCAGCTGGCAGTGTTAACTGTAACAATATGTGTCATTGATCTTACCATAAAGTATGTCTAATGGAGGGAAAGCTGCAGTAAGGCCATCAGCATAGCCAGACTACTAGAGACCAGTGCTTTGGATGAAAGTTACAGTTGTAGCAACAAATAATAACCATAATGATATGTTATATTATGACAAAATGAATCATTTTCTTGCACACAGTTTTTTATAATTCTAATACAAATATATCTACTGGCTTTTGCTGGCTTTGCTGTTTTTTTTTTTAAACTTTTTGTAGAACTATAAACCTCAGCTGTCCTTTAAGGATTTAGCAAAGGTGAAACTCTGGGATTTCTGACTGCATTCATTGTTCAGTATGTAGTAGAAGTTCAAAGAGGAAAACAATCTTCACTGCTATAGCTGGCCATACATTAAGTCACCAGTCACACCGCTGCGATTTCAAATTGTGCAATTTGTGTGCAATTTCAGCGCGATTTCGGGTGTGATCTCTAAAGACTTTATTGCTACTTGTGAAGATTTTCAATGATTTCTTGCAATTTGCAGTGTGATTTCTGTTATATTCTATGTATGTGAAATCCCAATAAAACTGCAGAATAAGTAATGCAAGAACTACTTTAGAAATCATGCTGCAACAAATGGCACATGTTATGACACTGACATTCACATTCATTAGATGTGATTTCAGCTGCGACTTCAATCTGCAAATCACACCTGAAATCGCACCGGTACAGGGGCGGACTGATAACTCATGGGGCCCCCGGGCAATAGGGAATCATGGGGCCCCTGTGTCCTTGCCCAAACTCAAAAAAAAGTCTATGAAAAAGGTACCAGGGGCATCTTATGGGGCCCCACACTGACCCCCGGGCCCTCGGGCAGTGCCCGAGTTTCCAAATGGTCTGTCCGCCCCTGCACCAGTATGACCTGGTACTAAGGGCTCAATCAAACTGGCACCTGTAATTGCCGGCCTTCTAAAAAGCGACAAGGACAAGGTCAGTGCAAGGATTTTTGTCTATGCAGGCGAAAGTGCATTTTGGGAATACCTGTAAAGTAAAAAAAAAGAACTTTGGATACAGATTCTGCCTAAACTAAATTAAAGCTAATGTCAATCATCTTTGACTCCACCTACACCCTATTAATGTACAAAAAGTACACATTTGATGTTCAATACATAGAGAGCTGTAAACAGTTTAGGATGGTTATAGATTAATTTGAATTTATTTTTTTTCAGTCAAGTGACCAGCACAGCACCAATCAGGGCTATGCAGACACAGACTCATACTGTAGAGAGCATACATTAGCAGTGTAATAGAAGACCCTCCCTGCAAATGCCAAAGAACAGGGAAAGATCATGTGACTACACAACAGCTCTGCAGGAATAAGGTACTTAGAGGATTAAAAAAACAAAAAAAACCCAAAATACAGTGGCATGATATATATGGTTTATGTCAGGGGTCTCCAAACTTTCAAAACAAAGGGCCAGTTTGCTACCCTTCAAACTTTATGGGGCAGGACTGTGGCCAGTGGAAGTAGAAAATGCCCTAGCATTGGTGGTAGTAAACAATGCCAAAAGAGTCAATTACATCACTGGTGTCAGTGGGAGGAATAGGGCCCCATTGTTGGTGACAGTGGGAGAATTAATTCCCAATCTCTGGTGTATGTGGAAGGAATAGCGTCCAGGGGTGGACTGACCATTTGGAAACTCGGGCACTGCCTGAGGGCCCGGGGTCAGTAGGGGGCCCCATGAGATGCCCCTGGTACCTTTTTCATAGGCTTTTTTGAGTTTGGGCAAGGACACAGGGGCCCCATGATCCCCTATTGCCCGGGGCCCCATGAGTTGTCAGTCCGGCCCTGATAGTGTCCCATCATTTGTGTCAATGGGAGGAACAGTGCTGCGTATCAGTGGAAGGAATAGTGCCCCAGGGGCCTGATAAAGGCAAGCAGAGGGCCACATCCAGACATCAGGCCGCAGTTTGGAGACCCCTGATTTATGTGAATGAATTATGGCAATTAACACTTCTCTATAAATGCGAAAAGCCCCGTGCCAAAGATATAATAAATCGTTATCTAGCTACAGTCACTAAACTCAATGTAGAGTGTGCAAAGAAACAAATATGTCTATGACCACTCTCAAAATCTCAAGTGTTAAACCACCTAAAACAAGAAAAAGTGTTAAAATAAAATATAAAATGTATCAAAATATTCACTTTCAAAATATTGTGCAACTCAGTTCACAAACAGTGGGATTGATTTACTAAAACTGGAGAGTGGAAAATCTGTTGCAGCTCTGCATAGAAACCAATCAGCTTGTAACTTCAGCTTGTTCAATTAAGCTTTGACAAAAAAACCTGAAAGCTGATTGGCCGGTGTAGAGCAGCACCAGATTTTTCTGTTTCAATATTTTTTATTAAGAAATTTTTGTTTTAAGAATACAACAAGCTCAAAATACGCCCACACAAGGGGAATCAGAAAGAAAACATAGAAGGGAAACTAAAAGGATCACAGATCCAGGGCTAGCACAGGCAGCGACTATAAGAGGCCATAACTAGTAGGAGGCAAGGATGGCAAGGAATAACGTATCCAAGGTTCCCAAACCTTAAGGAATCTCGGATGAGGCACCAGATTTTTCATGCTTCAGTTTTCGTAAATCAACCCTAATGTGTCCATAGAAAGTATTCCTAAATCCAAATAAATGAAATCAAAGTCCTTAAAGTGGTAGTAATCTCATTAAAAAAAAAAAAAAAAAGTTTCCTGCTGAAAGGTTATATAATGTACTAGTATGCATGCCATACTAACATTCTATGAAAGACTTACAGAACAAAGCCCTCAAGTGGTGCGCTGTTACCGCTGCAAAGGCTTCCATCTTCACCTGGTCTTCCTTCTGGGTCCATGGGCTGTGGCTGATTGAATGGCCGAGCCGCCATCATTCCTGCACCGTGACATCACTCCTGCGCTTGTGCATGGGAGTCTCAGCCACAGCACACAGCTCTGAAGGAATGGTAAGGATATGCCGTTCCTTCAGATGTCACCGGCTGAATGTTTAGGAGATACAGTATTCATTTTAGCTACAGGTAAGCTTTATTATAAGTGACTTTACTACCACTTTAAAGTGGAACTGCACTGCATCTGAGCACCACAAAGGAAAAAGGCTATTTAATTCATTGTTAAAATTCAAAGCAAATTCACTCATCCATTCATGTCTCCATGCTTTATTTTGCTGGGAAATAAGTTATAAAAACATCCCCTAGCATTTCGGGCATTGGCCATCTTGAGTAAGGGCAGACGATTCATGTAGTATTTATTTCCTGCAATCCATCTGCCCTTTGCTCAGTCATCGGCTGAGCTGAGAACCCCTCCCTCCCTTCCTGAAGACTTCTGGGATGTATGACACCATTTGCCTAGGCATGGGAACCAGAAAGTAACTGAAAAATGTAAAAAAAAAAAAAAGTATAAAGCAACTACGATATACATTCTTACCCATTTGCTAATGCTAGCAGCATAAGGATTAAAAATAGTCTATGTTGAATGAGAGAGGGAAGTTCCACTATAATGTCCACCATCAAGTGCAATATGTGCAAAAAAAAAAATAAAACAAAATAAAATATATTTGTACATAAACTCTCTTTATTTAAAAGGGGATATTCCACTTTATGGACTGCTCCCCCATTCCCCATTAAGGATTGGCACCTTTGGGGAGCGGGTACCCAAATTTGACAGGTACCTGCTCCCATTTCCGGTCCAATCGCCTAGGCGATCGGTAACGGAAGGTGTCCTCCCTCCCTCCCACCCTGTAGTCTTTTGGGACACGTGACAGGTCCCAGAAGACTACAGGACCATTCATGAAGTGCAGCGCTACTCGCGCATGCGCAGTAGGTACCCAGTTGTGAAGCCGAAAGCTATCACAGCCGGGTGCCCACACTGAAGATGCCAGCCTCCTGGAATACAGGACGGCCGGTGAAACGAGCTGCGGGACACACACACCAAGGGACAGGTAAGTGGCTGATTTTTAAAAGTCAGCAGCTAAAGTTTTTTTGTAGCTGCTGACTTTTATTTTTTGATAGGTCGAGTGGAACTCCGCTTTAAAATTGTGATGTCAGAGCATCCAGTATCCTACACCTCTTCAAGTAAATGGCTCACCTCTTTCAACACAACTTAAAATGCACAATAAAACTGTCTTCCTTTACCCGGGTTCACACTGATGCGGTTCGGCACATCACGCGTGATTCGCACAGGAAACGCACCGCATCCCTGTGCAAATCACATGCGATTTCTGTGCGGTGCAATTTAAGCCATACATTTTGTATAGCTCAAATAGCACTGCAACCGCACCAAAATAGTGCGGCACGAGAATCAGATTGCAGTGATGTTCACACCTATGCGATCCGATTCGGCACATCACACCACGTTTTGCAAACCGATTTTGGGGTGTTGTTAACTTAAAATTCACACCCACAGCAGTTTGCATGAACGGGGTGCGATTATGATGTGGTGCGGAAAACGCACAGAAACCGGTACGATTTCCGCACCACATCAGTGTGAACCAGGGCTTAAACGGTATCACATGCAATGCAAACCGCTTTCAATCCTGTTGGAACACTAGGCAATCTTCAACAGCCATCAATGCGTTAATGGATCCACTTTCTTCATTAATGGGCTTGCAAGGTTCTCACTGTTCTTCTAGACCAGCGGTTCTCAACCTGTGGGTCGCGACCCCTTTGGGGGTCGAACAACCCTTTCACAGGGGTCTCCTAAGACCATCGGAAAACACATTTCCGATGGTCATAGGAACCGAGACACCGCTGACTGATAAGTCTCCAGGCGGGTCCGCCCACATGCAGATAAGTCCACATTTCCCTGGACCGCGATGTGTGCGCGGGATGACATGCCGCCCCTGTCATCTGGCCACATCCCCGGGATCACTCAACAGCTCCACCTCCTCGCCAGTGATTGGCCGCCGGAACTGTAGCTCAGGAGAGGCACACAGGCGGCCAATCACCGGCGAGGAGGTGGAGCTTGGAGAGGTGGAGCTTGGAGAGGAGGAGCCGAGCAGCAGCACGAAGATCAAAGAAGATCGAGCGAGGGAGCCGCCGGAAGAAAGGAAGACAGCTGATAGGTAAGTGTCTGTACCGTGCAGATGGTGCTGCTGCAGCCAGGTATGCTGGCTGTATATGGGAGAGGGAGGGAGCGAGCCCAGGCTGGAGCAGGAGTCAGCAAGGTAAGTATCTTTGGTGTCAGTGGGAGGAATAGTGCCCCATCATTGGTGTCACTAATACCAATGATGGGGCACTATTCCTCCCACTGACACCAATGATGGGGCACTATTTTCCCCCACCACTGACACCAACGATGGGAAACTATTCCTCCCCCCACTGACACCAACGATGGGGCACTATTCCTCCCCCCACTGACACCAACGATGAGGCACTATTCCTCCCACTGACACCAACGATGGGACACTATTCCTCCCACTGACACCAACGATGAGGCACTATTCCTCCCCCCACTGACACCAAAGATGGGGCACTATCCCCCCCCACTGACACCAATGATGGGGCACAATTCCCCACAATTCCCCCCCACACTAGTATCAATCATGAGGCACTATTCCCCCCCACTGACACCAATGATGGGGCACTATTCCTCCCACACTGACACCAATGATGGCACACTATTCCTCCCACTGATACCAATGATGGGACACTATTCCTAACACTGATACCAATGATGGGGCGCTATTCCTCCCACTGATACCAACGATGGGACACTATTCCTCCCACTGACATCAGTGATGTGGCACTACTCCTCTCACTGACACCAATGATGTGACACTACTCCTCTCACTGACACCAATGATGTGGCACTACTCCTCTCACTGCAAAATTACAGTTATGAAGTAGCAACAAAAAAATTATTTTATGGTTGGGGGTCACCACAACATGAGGAACTGTATTAAAGGGTCGTGGTATTAGGAAGGTTGAGAACCACTGTTCTAGACCATTTGCCAACATGTTAAAAAACATAAAGGAAGGCTTCATAGTGTAAAACAAGCCGTTATTTATTCATAAAAACCATCATAGGTACACTCAGTGCCATGTGTCGTGCCCGGCACTAAGAAGGTATTCACATAGACAAGTATTTTGAGCGCAGTCATACACAAGTTAACACTTCTCTGTTTCACTTTAAGACAGAAAAGCAAATGCTTCTCACTGCACAGAGGGGGATCTGTGACTAGCAAGGATCTTCAGATCTGACTTCAGCCCTTCAATACTGGAAACTTCACTGTTTAGTTTTCCGTAACAGCCTTCTTATATGACTCCTCCTTCCTATCTCAGGCTGTAAAGCAATGATGGGGCTTCTATGGCTATTGTTACACCATTGCAGGGCAGTAAGAAATATCATATCATATACTGTGCTATTGAATAGCAGTTTAAAGTGTTACTAAACCCAGGAACCTGCATTCACTATATCTGGTCTCTCACAATACACAGAACATGGAAATGCAATTATTTTAGCAAATATAAACTGCTAAATTCCTTTTCTCATCAGCAGTATATAGCAGTCCTGTGACTTCTATCAGTGTCCAGCTAAGCACTGGTTACAGCTTGTAGGAGGAGTTTTCATTCTGCTCTGACTGTCCTATTAGGCTGCATGACCCCTGACTCTGTGACTGAACAGTGCTGATTGGCCATGTGCTGATCACATGCAAGCTGCCAAATGAAAAAAACTCTCTAGCAATACACACCAAACTGTGCATGTGCACAGTGACTCCTAGAGCTCTGTACTATCAACAGATGTATTGGGGACATTAGAAGAAGGGGAGGATCAGAGAAGACAGGATCAAACAGCCTTTTTACACAATGTGGAGGATTAACCCTTTAGGTCTCACAGTGAGTATAACAAGCACGCTTTACTGTATATACAGACTGATTTTACTGATGTGGTTTAGTAACACTTTAAACCCACTCATTTCAGGATTGACTCATTCACAAAAAAACACCCCAGAGATATTAGAACTTGTCTTGCAGTGCTAAGGACCTGGGTTGGTGAGGACACAATGTGCATGGAGTATGAATAAATGTGTGGTGGCACATTCTGCATGGTGGTGGAATGTGCTACAGATGTAATGTAGCATAGATGTAGGCTAATCATTCATGTAGTTTATATTGTCCAGAGCAGGTGCGGACTGACAACTCATGGGGCCCCCGGGCAATAAGGGATCATGGGGCCCCTGTGTACTTACCCACACTCAAACCACACCAAAAAAATCCTCTGAAAGGTACCAGGGGCATCTCATGGGGCCCCCTACTGACCCTGGGCCCTCGGGCGGTGCCCTAGTGCTCGACTGGTCCAGAGTATTATTATTCTTCTTAGCTGGGGATTCTGCACTGTGAACAGGTAATCAGGAGGTAAAGTGGTTCTAAAGACAAAATGTTTGTTACCTTAAAGTGGTTGTAAAAGCTAAATTATTTATTTACCTTCATGCATTCTATGCATGAAGGTAAAAAACTTTCTGTGTGCAGTAGCCTTCCCAGCACTTACCTGAGCCCCATCTCGATCCAGCAATGTGCAAGGGAGCCTTGGCTGTCCCAGGTCTCTCCCTCCTCATTTGCTGAAAAAGCAGTGGGAGCCATTGGCTCCCTCTACTGTCGATCACAGCCAATGAGGAGAGAGCGGGGGGGGGGGCTGAGCCATGTCTGTGTGTGAATGGACACACAGAGCAGCGGCTTGGTAGAAAGCCTGCCTGGGTGCCCCCCATAGTGAGCTACTTTGTGTGGGGGCACTTGGCAGTAGGGAGGGGCTAGGAGCACTGGCAGGGGGCCCGAGAAGAGGAGGATCAGGGCTGCTCTATGCAAAACCAATGCACACAGCAGGTAAGTATAGTGGTGTATTTAGGTTTTGGCCAGTTGCGATTTCTCCTGTGCTCTAGGGCCCATATAACAGCTCCTGTGTGCCACTGAAGTGGGGCAGCGCCACCCCCCTGAAAAATGCCGCCCAAGGCAAATGCCTTGTTTGCCTCATGGTAAACACTGTACGTCCCTGGGTAAATATGACATGTTTGTTATTTAAGAAAAAAATCTGCCTTTACAATCACTTTCATGCATTTCCTGCATTAAGAGAATAAAAAAGAACCTTTACAATCACTTTAAAGGTGCTCTGTTGCGAGTGATACAGTTGCAGGTAATTTAAAACGGTTAGCAGTAGTAGATTGGATATTTACAGACAGCAAGCATGCGAGCAAACCGTTTCTGATGAAGAGGGTCAGCCCATGAAACTGGTCAGAGGTTATGCATACTAGAAGTAGCGGCTGCATGCTCTCTAACAGAATCCACTAGAGGAATTTCTACTGTGCGGTAAGGATTGAGTAGGTCTCTTCCTGGATGCCATTCATGTTATGTAGCAGAATGTTTGCCAAGTATTACATTTTACTATTTTTTTTTAAATAAAGGTTACATGAAGGTATTACGCAATTCTTGTGCTCTGTTTGTTCTATACTGTGCTGAGGGGGGTTTAGGGCTGTTTGGGGAGATATTTATTGAGGGGGATGTGGGCTTGGAAGGGATTTGTGCTGGAAGGAGGGGGTAATTTTTGGTTGTACTCTGTATACTAGCCTGTCCGTTACATACTTCTGACTCCTGCACTCTCTAATACACACTGCTGAGGCCTGTAGTCTGTGCTTTATACACGCCAGACCTCTGCACTCAGTGTGGTATGCATTCCTGAGCCCTGCAGCCTGTGTTTTATACACTCCACGCCCCAGCACTCTGTGTGGTAGGCAGTCCTTAGCTTTGCAGTCTTTGATTTACGTACTCTAGAGCCCTGTGCTCTGTGTTACACCCGCCTGAGCCCTGTACTCTGTGTGTTAAGAATTCTTCACCCTGCACTTTGTGTGTTATGCCCCCTTGACCCCTGCACTCTGCGTTACACCTTCCTGACCCCTGAACTCTGTGTGTTATGCTTTCCAGACCACTGTACTCTGTGTGTTAGACTCTCCTGTCCCTGCACTCTATGAGTTACGCCCTCCTAACCCTTGCACTCTGTGTGTTACGCCCTCCTGGACCCTGCACTCTGTGCGTTATGCTTTCCTGGCCCCTGCACTCTGTGCGTTATGCTTTCCTGGCCCCTGCACTCTGTGCGTTATGCCCTCTTGACCCCTGCACACTGTGTGTTATGCTCTCCTGACCCCTGCACACTGTGTGTTATGCTCTCCTGACCCCTGCACAGTGTGTGTTTTGCTCTCCTGACCCCTGCACTCTGTGTGTTACACTCTTCTGAGCCAAGCATAATAGATAGTGGGGTTTATTTACTAAAACTGGAGAGTGCAAAATCTGGTGCCACTCTATATAGAAACTATGTTTAATTGAACAAGCTGAAGTTAGAAGCTGATTGGCTACCATACACCAGATTCTGAGTGCTCCAATTTTAGTAAATCTCCCCAACTGTGTTGTACATTTCATACTCCTAACCACTGCATTCTGTACATGTCTGTTAGACTCTCACATGTGGAACAGTCATTAAAGCATATTTTGTGGGTATAAGGCCAGTGGCACATGTTTGCTATGTATACCGTGAATAGGCTCAACAGATGTTGTAGTACTCAGCAGAAAGTTTGGTGCTAAATGATGTTTTCTAAATATTTTATGACAAATGTGTTGGCAGATGATTGTTTTTTTCACCGCTTGCCAGTGTACCTTTAAACCACACCCATATGGCCACATCAACTTTCCACTGGGTGTACCCATTATATAATTGCGCACTGCATTCCACCACTTTGCAAATTGCCCCTCTTTGTCAATTTCAAATGTTGAGAGGTATGCCTTAGCCTCTATCACATACCTGATGAAGAATGGAATGTTGTGGAGGCCTCTCTTGCACCTCCTGCCCAACACTCCTGAAGATGGAGACAGAGAGTATGAGGGCATGGAGTAAAGTGCTGGAGTAGCTGATTGGTGATGTCCGCTCCTTAGGTGGGTAGAGCTGGAATTCTCAGTCCTGAGGTGCAGCACCTTCCTAGTTTAGCTAGGGGGAGCTAGACTCCAATAGTTAGACAGGGGCTGAATAGCAGCCCAGGTGTAATAGTCAGAGGGGTCACATTTCGGTCAGGAGCTGGAAAGCTCTGAAAACTCAGCCCTCTAAGACTTCCCCCTGCCTAGAACTTTGGAGAAAGGTCTAGAAGCAGTGGGCGGATGTAAGGAGTGGTTGATCTGCAAATTTGAGGGACTCTGACCAATCCCCAACAGGAG